TCAGTTCCTCCGACTTAAGATCATCTTGGACCACCAATGTTAAATATGTTAGAGTTTATCTCATGGCCTCAGCTTGAACTGTGTGCTTTTCTCCCCCATCAATTGGAATATGGTACTTCTGCTTTATGTTCTCATATTTTTCAATGTGTACTGTGTCATTACTCATTTCTTCAAGCTCCTTGCTCACTGAATTATACTATCTCTTACTTGTGTAATCTGATTCAATATGCTCAAATATGTGACACTTGAAATACTTCCTGGCTGAGGCAAATTTGAGAATACAGATTAGTTCAACCTGTTCTCCAATCTTAACTAGGGTCTTCTTTGGCGGGGTTAGCTTGGATGTTCTGCTGGATGTACTGCAGCTGCTTAATCTTGGGTTTGAACTCTGCCTATACGATGCGACAGACACCCGAGAATGTTGCTGTAACTGTTGAGGCCTTATGCACATATTTTTCCTATAATGTGTAGGTAGGCACTGACGCTGCATTTTCCTTTTCATCTTTGACTAGATAGTGATCTTGTCTTTTCCCTCACACTGGTGTAGGTGCTTCAAAATTTTCCACCAAAAGAAGACATACTCTTCATTAACTTGCTGGCAACTATCTTTACTATTTCGTTCGACAGGACGTTTTGATACTCAAAGACCAGAGCTACTCGATGAACTCGTCCGTATCCATATGACCGTCCACATAAGACAAATCCACTTATATTTCAAAATCCCTAATTATCTCATATTTTATGCCAATTCTTTAGGGTAATGGTTATTCATCTCTGAAATTTGTCTGGTGGACGAGATTCATTGTATTCATTCGATCGGGCAAGTCACTCTTGTGGCTACAAGCGATTCATCTAGATTGCCTCTTCTCGAAGGCGGTAAGCTTCTGTTGTAGTTGGAGGATTTCCCTTAACACATCCTCTATAGAAGGTTCTCAGACATCTTTTTATGGATTTCTCACAAAAAACATAGTGGCATTTCCTTTTGAATAATTCTTTGACAATAGTCTCTTTGGTGGTGTTGGTGGGGTTTGGGAAGGTGGAATAGGGTGTAATAGGATGATGTAGGGTAGGAAAGAAAATTTTTGGGGGGCTAGTTTGAAAAATAAAAAAAATGGAAGTATTTTTGGTGGCGATAAAGATGGGTATTGGCGGATGCCAGAAACCCTAAGTAGGATTAGGGTTAGACTAACTCTGATACAAAATGATACCAGAGTTAACCCAAACAATAATAAACATACAAATGTTATTACTGAAAAAGTCTTTAGGCGGTTACAATCAACAAACAGGAATGTAATTAACAACAACATAACACACAAAACATGACCATTCTGGATCCCAAGTGGTGGTCGCATGGGCGACCTTAGAAAGGTTGCGACAATGATTATGGGTGGCTAGAATAACATGGAAGCAAGGGGCGGTGGTCTCAACAACAATAGTTTGCTGTTAGGGGGTGGCAACAACGAGGGAGAATTGGGATAGGCGACGTCGAGCTTGAAAGAGAAGGTGGTGGCTGGGAAAGCAAAATACTTTAGGGAAATAGTGATGTTCTACAACTTCGGGTGGCGGTAGTGAAGGATGTAGGCGGGAAGAAATGTGGGATGGTTGGGGAATGGTGGAGGGCAGCTGTTTGAGGTGGAAACAAGTCTGGAATAGTAGGAAACTGTAGGAAAATAGTTGGGGTGCTGTTGTCGGGGCCGCATCAACATTGGAGGGAGGTCAGAACTGACGTCGGAAGATTGCAAAAACATGAAGATCAATATAAAACCGAGGTATCACCTGAAACCTTATGATATAACGCTTAAAGGGAAGAAGAGATGCTGGCGGTTGTCCCGATATAAAATACAAAAATTGCAAATTTAGAACACAAGAAACAAATATATAAGCTGTAGAGAGTTTAATATTGGGCCCACAAGTGAAAGGAGGCGTTGCATCCGAAGGAGGGAGCCGATCACTCCAAGTGCTTGATGCAGGACAGGGACCCCGCGCTCGCACAAATCCCTCGTCCCGAAGAGACACTTCCATGTCACTAAAGCTTAGCAATGAATGATAAATACCTTTGAAAGGCTTCTATGATTTAATGGTGAACAATGTTATCTCAAATGATTACAATTATAGCCAATTTCTTACAACTAATTGTAAAACATACAAAAACCAGTCTCCAAATAGAATTAAGCAAGAAGTCATTGCACCTGTTGTGCTCAGAAAGACTTAGTGAGGATGAACATTTTTTTCTATTTAAGGTGAAACCCTTAAGACCGATTCTTTTTCTTAGTTTTTTATTGAATATGTATGTTAAATGATTAATCTTTAAGCTATGTTGATTAATGGGCATGTGTAGGAGCAAAAGGCGATCAGGAGTGACTCTGAAGTATATTCTTAAATGCCCATTTAGGCTTAAACTAATTTTCTGACTGTTGGAGGATTTGCCCATTACCTTCTAATTCTAACAGTTGTGAAGGCCCATAAATTATTTTATGGCAGGCCTATAAGAGGACTAGTGTATTCGAAGAACAACTTCATACTTGTTCATATGAAACTCATTTACTTTCATTTATTTAAATGATTGAACAAGCTTTAAAAATTTTTGAAACAAGAATATGTAAATGGAGAAGCTTGAATAATGATGCTTGTTCATTTATGTTTATGAACATGATCATTTGTTATTTATCAAGTAACTCTCAATACCTGTATAAAAGGCTTAATTAATGATGTTTAATTTCTTATTTGCTGACATTTTATTTTATTATGTCAATTTCATATTATCTTGTGTATTTTGAAAATTATACGTATTATTAAATATATAGATGAGATGAAACTTGCAAACAAATAGATTGATATATGTATTTAAATCATCTTTTCATAATTATTTGAACATCACAGGACAATTATAAATAGTACTTAGTAAGTTATAGTTACTTTAGTTAAAACTTATAACTCCATCTATGCCTTCCAAAAATGTTCTATCTTATAAATCCATCTATGCCTTCCGAAAATATTATATATATATTACATCTGTTCAACTTGGAAATTCTCTATTCCTTAGCAACTGCTTACGGTAAGCCTCTCAAGTTTGATAGTCCTACGCTTGTTATCACCAACCCTCTGCGATTTGTGTGTTAGTTGAGAGAGATATCAGTCAACCAGCTCCAAATGAAGTATGGATTGAAACCACTCACAACAGGTATTGACAAAATGTTGAAATAAAACTACACCCTCCTTATTGCTCTTATTGTAGTATGTTTGGTCACAGTTCTACTATCTGCTATCGCTTGCATCCTCATCTAAGGCCGAATATTCTAAGCATCCTCATCTAAGGCCGAATATCGCTAAAGATCAGCCACCTACCATCAATGCTGAGAAGGTGCAACTTGATCCTCTTTCCAACACCGCATTTTCGGATGAAGAACACCATACCCATGTCGTTCTACCTCTAGATGCTCCTGCTTTCCAGTGGCTAGTTTGGAGCATGGTACTTTGGAGTCCCATGAAGCATCTCCCTATACTGCAAGTACAAATCCAAATGTGTTTATACCACTCACTGTTATTCAAGAAGACTCACTTATATGCCAAGAAACACGAGAGCGCTCCTTTGATCCAATAAAAGATCAGCTGGTACAACAAGTAGTTGCTTCAAATGTTTAACAACATACACATGTCAGACACACTTTAGACCAATCCACTGATCAGGCGAGCCAGTCTTTGGATGAGGAATGACAAGTTTATTCTAGGAGGAAGAAGAAGAATTGAGGCCGACTCGAGCTCAGGAACTTATTGGACGATACATTGGTTACCACTGACAATGACACTCACCTTACTAATTTGTTAGCTGGCTTCTTTCTCAGAACTAGAGACAGAGACATGTTAAAATTGGGTCGCTCTCTAGTTACCTGATACTACGTGTTTTGACACTTTTTGGTTTTTTTGAGATCTCATGTATTTTTCTGTATTTTCTTTTTTTTGAACCATTTGCATATGGTGGTTATCGTGTGGGTAGGGTGCAATGCTTGAGCCCTCTCACACAATCTATATGTATCCTTCTTTCTTTTTTAATATATTAGCCATTGGGCTTTCTCAATATATATATATATATATATATATAAATATACATTATTAGCATTAATCATATAGTTAGGCTCAATTAACAAACTCAATGAGAATATTAATAAACAAGCTTGAAGATAATTTTGAAATTCAGGTAATGTTCAAACTTTGCATGAACTCAATTAGAAAATAAATGAGCAAGTTTGAACAAGATAATACTCGTCTTAACTCCATTCATTTGGAACCCTATTTTACGAGGTTTTTAATACTTTGAGGGGAACCACAAAGCTTTTTATGAAAGCTTGTAAACCACACAATGGGGTTTGCAGAGGTCCATTTAAGTCCAGGGTACACAAAATAATGTGTAATAAACATTCAAATTAACTACTGCATGATTAAAATACTGTATAAAGAAAAAATTTTACTTGATGAAAATAATTATTTAATTGTAACTAAAGTTTGCGGAATTTTAATTTTGTGTGCATCATCTTTAAATTTGTAGGGTAAACTATAAACTCATTTATAACACATGACCCATGAAGTCCATCTCTAATTTGTAGAGGCTCCACGAAAGCGTAGTGCACCATGCCATTGTCACCATGGGTTAGGAGATAGTTGAATAACTTGCAGAACTTTCATCAAATTATTAGATGATATTATAAAATATTTATTTTCATTAAATCCCTAATAAGCTAACTATACATTATAAGATGGACATTGAGATTCACAAGGTCAATAATATTTCTCCCTTAGACCATGCTTAGAATTTTGATTGGCACTATTCTTCACTTTCTTGCCTGCCCGCTGTAGAAAATCCATTATCCCAGCATTGCCCTAGCTGACAGTGTATGTCCAGTGTCAGGACATAGTAGAAATTGGAAGCACTGATGCCACTTCAAAGAAATTGCTCGTTTTTTTTGTGACTGGAATATTTACTATTTGCTTTTATTGCATGATAGGTACCCGCATGTTGAAAAAGATCACTTGGTAAAACTTTTCAAGCAACTGATTCTTAACTGCACCCCTCAAGTACATGGCGCATCAGGAAACATTCCAAATGCAGCTGATGTACCCACTCTACTTGGATCTGGCCCTTTCTCACTTCTATCATGTATGTTTTGACCTTGTGATTGCAATAGTAGTACATTTTCATTATGTTTCCTAGCTCCTAACATCTTTGAACTAGTATGCAGCTTTTTTAATTCACCATATAATGTTAGCTCTTGCCAACAACCTGTGTTTTCAGCTGATAGAGATGGGGATGACAAAATACCTGGCCGATTGCCTGGTTATCTGCGTTGGCCGCACATGCAGGCTGATCAGGTTCGTGGATTAAGTCTGAGGGAGATTGGAGGTGGCTTTACTAAGCACCATCGTGCTCCATCTGTTCGTGCTGCTTGTTATGTCATTGCTAAGCCATCTACTATGGTACAAAAGATGCAATTTACGATAAAGTTGAGGGGGCATCAAAATGCTGTCTATTGTGGTATAATTACATATATTTCTATAAAGTACCTACTTTCCATATCTAATTATTGAAAATACCTTGCAATTCTTTAATATGGTAAACAAGTTCCATCTTTTATTTTTGGACCTATTTGCTTAGAATAAAAAAAGTGGTGGGTGCTGCTTTGAGACTTAATCTCCAAGACTGAAAAAAATTCTTTTCTTTTTGGGCTTGTCTTTTGGATCTAAATTAGCTTCTTTGCTGAAGCAAATGGTTATCTTTTTTGCACTTTGACCAGCTATTAGTTTTTTAATAAGATCAAGCCAAAAGTTTAATAATACTTGAAACATTTGTACATTACAAAACTTTATTTTCATAGTTTCTTTGGTGAAAGTGAAAATTGAACTTGATGTTTCTGTTTGTACTGATTGACTCTGGACAATTAATTGGACAATCAGTGCATGTACGAGGTATGCTGCTTTAGTGCCTAATCATGTTTCTGTTTTCACAAATAAGCCCGTTCTTGTGATCAAGAAGCCTGATTGATGGTAACATGATCTAAGTGGTTTGATAGCTTGAACGAAGGTAATGATTAGCAAGCCTCAGCATCCTAGTGAAACTGTTGTTATCAAAGGTGGTTTGTTGATGTTGCTAAGGGGCAGTTAAGTTTTTTACTAAGAGAGTTGTTATCTTAAGTCTTTATTTGGTAAGGCTTTTCAGCAGTTTTTATTTTCATAACTTGACAAATCAATTCTTTGATTTACATTGGAAACGTATGCTGATAGGTACTACATGCAGCTTCTCATCTGTTCATAACAATGGGCCACACACATGTTGAGTATTAGGTCAAACTCTATCAGAGTAATAATGACATTTATTTCACACTAAACAACGCAACACAGCAATGACATTACCATCACCAAACTTTTATCTCCTTCTGTGTATTCACAAAGTTGTATTGATGTTTGTGATCGAGGGGTAAGATTTCTTATCCTCACTTCTTGAATTATAATTGTGACTTTTAGGATCACATATTTGTAACTGACTCTTTTTGCCGTCTCTTGTCTAATATTTCATCAGCATATAGTTAACCTGAGGAATATGTTAAATGATGGCTTCACAATACTTATCACTGAGTTATAATGCTTGAGTGCATAATCACTCTTCTATTTTCACAAGGAGACCTACTCTTGTGATATTGAAGCCTGATTAGAGGTAATGGTGATTAATACGGCCCATTAATGTGATCAAGAAACCTGACTGTAGAAGTGTTGTTGATGATACCAAGGGCTAGTTAAGTTTAACTGTGAGAGAGTTGTCTTAAGTCCATGTTCGGTAATAATTTTCAGCAACTTTGCATTTCAAAAAGTTAACAAATTATATTTTTGATATGTATTAGAAACATGTGATGGTAGGTGCTATACTGCACCTGTACCTCCTTTATGTGCCCATGACCGTGAACGATGCACATGCTGAGTAGCTGGTTAAATTTTTACAAGATTAATAAAGACATATTTCGCACTAGATAATACCACATGATTCTTTTCAGTTTAGGATTAGGGTTTTCTAATGCAATTAGAATAATGTGATATATGTTGATCATGGAGAACTTAAGATTGTAGATAAAAATACCAAATAAACTAATAAATTTCCTTGGATGCAAATAATAAATCTGACCAATGATAATTTTTCAAGAGGTCATCATCATTTAGCTCTTTTCCAATTATTTCGTGTCGGTGTATGGATCCTCATTGTTTATTTATTAATGTTGAGTGTTGTTGTAGTTAAACCTATCATTTGTATTGAGCAACTTCTATTCATGTAATTTAAAATATATGCCTTTTGCTATCTAATCCATTGATACTATTTTTATCTTACTCATGTAATGAGTACGTTTTCTACATTATGTTACACGTCCAAACCACCTAATTCTATTTTCAAACATCTCATTTTTAATAGATATTACTCCATTCCATCTAATATAATTTTTACTTAATTTATTTTTTAGCTTTCTTACTCATCTATCTTAATATTCTCAGCTCTGTCACAGCCAACTTAGATATTAATGAATTTTTAACAGTACAATATTCAACTCCATATAAGATTACCTCTTCTCACATACATAATTGCAGTTTTGTAAACATACCTTTAAGACTCCATGTTATCGTCTTATTGCACAAAAAATTGTTGATGCATTTCTTCATTTTAATCACCTCTCTTTAACCATAGAAGTTTTATTTTCATTTATAGCTTAATTGTTATATATTAACTATTCAAAATATTTAAATTTGTCACAGCTAATTGTTACCTCATCTTTTAATAATATTGAGCGATGTTCTTTAGCTTCATGCCCATTATAATTATATATCATCATATACTTTATTTAACTTTTCCATTTTTAAGTTTCCATCTATTAAATTTTTTTTTCACTAATTTCAGTAGATGTTTTACTATTTATAACTATATAATCCATAAAAAATTGCATTAGGATACCTTGTTTAGAATATCCTTTATAAATATTTTTTAGAATCAATACAGAAAGATATAGACTCGATACTGATCCTAGATATAAACCATTAATTTTTTAAAATTCTAGAATCTCTCCATTACTATTAATACTAGTCAGCGCTTCATCATAAATATCTTTATTAATGCCAATATATATTTTTCTTTAAAGCATACCAAATCAATTCTCATAGTGCTTAATCATAATCCTTCTTTAGTCTCTGCTTTGTTTCTTATTCTTCTCCAGTAATTGTTTTGACAAAAAAATGACTTTCTTAATAAATCATCTTTGCATGAAATTAAATCGGTTTTTTCAAATTGATGTGACTTTTCTAAACCTATGTTTTATTGCTCTCTCCTATGGCTTTATTGTATGTCTCATTAATTTGATTTCTCTATAATTATACAATATTGAAGAACATATTCATTTATGTTAGTTCCAAGTATTTCTCCCTAATTATTTGACATCGTCTTTGTCTTCAAATTTTGTTAAAAAGATTTGTTAAAAAAATCCTTAAAATAATGCTAATATTCTGTGGCTCAAATATTTCAGACCTTAATGATACAAGTTTATGATAAGATTTTTTGTTAACATGTAATGCCTTCGACAACCAAGAGTTTGATTGAAAGTGTAGAACTCCCTAATCATATTTTAAATATTTTTACTTAGCTTCATTCAATTTCTGACTTAAAAATAGAATGAGATGCCATTTTGATCTGCATAAACCTTAAACTCATTAATAAAATAAGGTCATTAAAATACATGTTCATTCGAAAGTCTTTCTTTAATCTCAGTAAAAACGCAATCAACAAATTTAGTCCATTTAAGTTTTCTTTTCTTTACATTTAGTAAATGGTTCCATGATGGTACGAAATGCTTCAATAAATTATTTATAAAATATAGCAAAATTATAAAAAACCTGGAAATCATTTATATGAGTATGTTTTCACAATCATTAATTGCGTTAACCTTATTAGAATCAAATAATAATCCACTTATAGATGCAGCGTTTCTTAAAAAAATCACATGCAAATTTACCAAACATTTTTTTTTTCAGATGCACAACTTCTGCTTGTAAAATGTTAAATATATTTCTGAGATGAAATAAATAAATGGTCATCTTGTATTTTGCTGTAAATTAAATATCATGAAATAATCAACTATAATTTTCCTATAAAAAGTTACAAGATGAGTTTCATTATTTTTATGATATATTAGGTGTATTGGTTAATCTAAAAGGAAACCTTGTCATCCATTTATATATTACATCTTTGATCTTAAAACTAGCTTTTCATTTATCATATTCTCTCATTCTAGTTTGATAGCAGCCACTTGCCAAATCCATAGTAAAAATTTTCGCAATGCCATTTATCCTACCTAAATTGTTATTTAAATTAAGGAAATTTATATTTTATGATGATTATGTTAATGAATTTACTAGTAAAAAATATATTGGCAGTTCTCATCTTTTTTAGGCGTAAGCAAAGCAGATATACCACAACTTTGCGAAATAAGTTATTTCTTATGTAACTCCTCAATTTGTCTTCTAACTACAACATACTATGTTGAATTTATCCTAGACTGATTTTTATTAGGCAATAATGATTTACTAAATCAATAACATGTATATTATTTATTGATGGTAATTCAAGATGAAGCTTATCAAGAACATTTGCCATTTTCAATTGATGGTAATTCAAGATGAAGCTTATCAAGAACATTTTCCATTTTCAATCGATAATTTACTAACATCATTAGATAAAGTCAAATCTTCCAGTATTATAGTACTTGACTCAATAACTACTGAGGCATATATCATACCTTCTGTCTGCTCTTTTTCTCGAATGCATGTTTGCTTAGAATGTCCTAAATATTTTTCACTTAATGGGAGCACTAGATACTTTTCTAGATTCAGACATACTCTTAGATTTTTTTCCCTCCATTTGAGCTACAATCCCAAATTTTGTTAGTTCATTAACTCTCCTCTCATTAGTCTTAGAAGCATACATATTAGAACTCCCAAGTCCTAATATGAGTAAAATCCATATCATAAATAAAAAGTTTACCTAAAATACATAACCAATATCCAAGGTTAACACACCACTTTTTGAGCATATGTAGCTAATTAGATCAAAACTAGGAAACTCTCAAGACAAAAATACAAGTTATATCTGTCGATGCTATTTTATATTGCTATTGATATTATTTAGTTTCAAATTCTTGTTGTATAGGGTAGCAGACGCAATATTTATGCTGCTCCCATTATCAATTACAAATTTGTAAATTCTCTTTTTTTTTAAAAATAGTTTGAAAAGTTATAGTTGCCTTTCAATTACATTCAAATGTAGAATTAGTTATGTTGTAACACATGGCATGCAAAAAGACTTATCAACTAAAGGTTCATTGGAATTACTAATTTTTTCATCAACTTCATGAACGCCATTAATACCATTGATTTCATTTCCTTCCTCCGCATTTACATGCATGTTCTTATTGGGATACTTATTAGTATAATGACTAGTTTGGTAACACTCAAAATGAGCATTTGCAGAAGTTTTAGACGTTAGATGTGGATGCAAATGTCATTATTCTTATTTACTGTTGTGTTATTATCGTAAATGTAGTAGGTAATTTGATTGCTTTGATGAAATGATGGATTATTTGAATAGGTAATAACCTTCATAGAAGCACAAAATTTTAAAGTGTCCTCAAAATCTAATGCAAGTGAAAAGTTATGCTCAATTGATGGATTGTGGTGAGTGCTCATCACTGTTTTGGCATCAGGTTTCTAATTAGATCTAAACCTAGAGAGGTTTTAGGATCTTCATTGATCTCAGAATGTAGCAATAATTTTTGGAATTTGCTTATATATTGAGTGGCAATTTTGGTCATTTTCAAGTATGAATTAAATTCATCAAGCGAATGATTGATAAGACAATGAAACTATTCATCTTTTAAAAGTTATCTCATTTCAGCCTATTTGGTAGTAGATTCCCTTCCCAACGTTTCCCTTTATTTTTCTATTCTTATTGAATAAGTTTTAACTTGTCTAATTAATTTCATTTTTTGCAAATATTTCTTGCCGCTAATCATACATCATTTGCCATTTGAAAAGCTTTGTGAATCTTTTACGTAAACAGTAAAGATTAAGAATCAATTTTCTGTCATAGGTAGATAGTTCAAGTTCAATTTTTCTAGTTATTCCATAATCTACATAGGTAGATAGTTCACCAACCTATTTTAAAGTTCAAAATAGTGGGTGAGTTATCTTGCTAAACTTTTTAATAAAATTTCAAAAAGTACGATCGATCTTAGTGAATTAATATCGTTAATAATAATAACGTGTTTCTTTTTTACCGTCACATTAGTAAAAAAAGGAGTTGATGAGGCTTTAAAGAAAACCAATGGTGGAAAGTCTGTAGGACCTGATGATATCCAAATTGAAGTGTGGAAATATTTAGGAGATTTGGGAGTTTCTTGGCTTACTACACTCTTTAATATTATTTTAAAAACTAAAAAGATGCCTGAGGAATGGAGGAACAATATTTTAGTCCCTATTTTTATGAATAAAGGGATGCAAAAGAGCGTGCAAATTAGAGAGATTTAAGTTGATGTGTTATACTTTAAAATTATGAGAGAGGGTAATTGAACATGAGGGTAATTGAACATCAAAGATTTCTCATAATCAATTTGCAAAGGCTTTTCATAATTAGTTTGGATTTATGTCATGCAGGTGTACTATGGAAACTATGCATTTATTGAGAGGTTTGATGGAGAACTTTAGAGATAATAGGGAGGATCTACATATGATTTTTATTGATTTAGAAAAAAACCTCCAAGAGATATCTCTCGGAGAGTTCTTGAGAAGAAATGTGTTGATATGACTTATATTCAAGTCATTAAAGATATGTATACAAGAGTTGTTACTTGTGTTCGAACAGGAGGACTGACCAAATTTTTTCCTATTTCTGTTGGTTTACATCAGGATCGGCTTTAAGCATATCTTTTTGCTTTAGTTATGGATGGCTTACTGGACACTTATAGGAGGATGTACCTTGGTGTATGCTTTTTGATGATGATATCCTGCTCGTGGATAACACGAGAAAAAAAGCTCAGGAAAAACTTGAATTATGGAGATCTACCTTGGAGTCTAAAGGCCTTTGTTTGAGGCCTTTGTTTGAGTAGTGAGTAGAACTAAAACTGAATACATGGAATGTAATTTTAGTAGTAGTAGCTCTGGTGGCAGAAATATAACTACGGGTGATCAAATTATTAAAAGGTGTGAATGCCTTAGATATCTCGGGTTTATTGTTCAAAGTGATGGTGATATTGATGGGGATGATATTAGTAGAATATTAGTAGAATTCAAGTTGTTGGTTGGCTGAAGTGGAGGAATGCTTCGGGCCTATTGTGTGATAGAAAAGTACCGCTTAGACTGTAAGGAAAACTTTATAAGATGGTGGCGAGATTTGCAAAGCACTATGGCGCTGAATGTTGGCCTTTAAAAGAGAAGCATAAAACTAAGTTAAGTGTTGCCGAGTGAGAATGATTAGGTAGATGAGTGGCTGTACAGAGACAAAATGCGAAATGAATAATATTGGTGTAGCTCCAGTGGCAAACAAAATTAGAGAAAGTCGTCTTAGATGGTTTTGTCACATTAAACGTCGACCATCTGATGATCCGGTTAGAAGAGTAGACGTTTTAGATTCGCGTTTTAGATTCGACTTATGTTAGATTCGACTTATGTTAAGAAAGGCAGCGGTAGACCTAGAAAGACTTGAGCATATTGCATACAAAATGATCTTAATTTATTAGAGTTAAATGAAAATATGACACTAAATAGGACGCAATGGAGAAAAAAGATTCAGCAATGGAGAAAAAAGATTCATGTAGCCGACCCCACTTAGTGGGATAAAGGCTTTGTTGTTGTTGTATTCCATAATCTACATCAAACTTTTGATATTTGTAATTTTCATAAACAATTTTGTTGAACACCCTAATTTATATATTTTAATTATTTTCTGAGATTACAATCCACTCCAGGTTCACTGGTTTGGAGATTGGCTTCAAATAGTGTTGGTTAATGCGTGCTTCGAAGGTGAAGTGTTGTGATGTGGAGGAATTGTGCTTTTTAGCTTTCTTAGGCGTATAGAGAAAGGAAAGCACACATTGCAAGCACTCATACAAACCTCTCGTGTGGTTCATTGTGCCGTCTTTGGGCGGGAAACTTGTGAATTTTGTATTTGGTTCACATGCCTATTTGAGTGGTCAGTTTAAGATAAAATAACAAAGAGGAAGAATTGTATTTGATAGCTTAGGTCTAGCGAGCTGAGCAGCAGGAGAAGATGCTCAAACTTGTCATCTACAGTTTCTCCTCAACATGCAAACATAGCATGAGAAACACTATTAATTTTTGTCTTCAATTTCTCCTCTACATGATATCAAATGTTGGCGCTTGTCTGTCCCTAGTTTTTGCTCTACACGAGCCGACTCAGACAATTGCGCTTCATCTCATACTCTTGTAGAACTCATTTTCTTCCAGTATTCTTTTTTGTTTTATATAATAAACATTTTTTTTTCTATCTTTCAGGTAAGAAGTTAGAAAAAGGATGTTTTCATGTTAGATTAAAACTTTTTCTTCTATTTAGCATATACTGCTGGACATTAGAAAATTTTGTTACATCAATTTGCATATTATTTCTACACAATGCACTTCACAAGGCAACATTAGTTGCCTTTGCGCAAGGCTTATTACTTCTAAAATTATCTTCAAATTAGATATGTACATAATTTTTTTTTTTAAAATTTGTACCAAGTTTTAAGTTACTTATTAATAATATTTGTTTCATAATTTTTATTCAATGGATTTTTTTATTTGTGGGTTATATTTGATTATTTAGATGTTTGTTATATGGGTAGTAATATTTGTATAAATGATACCCAAGTTATAATTGTTCTAATTAATAAAAGTGTTCACTGCACTTTTCTTATTGAAGCAAAAAGAAAGACTTGCTTCGGATTATCAATTCTTATTTCAACTAAATTGTGTCATCATTGATTTGCTTTTGCTTATAATTTAGAAATCTATTCACGTGCTGTGTAGTGGTTAAAGTTCTAATGCCAATTTTATGCATATCAAAATAGGGTTAGTGTTTTCTAATGCATTTAGAACGATGTAATGTATGTAGATAATATAAGGATCTCATGATTTATGGATCACAAACATCTAAGTAAGCTATTGGTCTACGCCTTGGTTTGGAGCGATTTGCTTTTGAATTTGGTTGCAAATTGTGTCAAATGTGAACAAAATTAAAAGAACCAACAAGTTCACAAATTATGTAGATGAGATCAGATCAAGGAAAAAAAATATCAAATTAAGAAATTCAGCTGCATATCGGTACAAAAAGATGACAGCTCTCTCAAATTAGGAACTCATGTACCACACACAGGAATCACACATTCAACCAGCTCACAAAATTGAAATATTGAAAAAATAAATTCTTTTTTCAATTAGAGTTTTTATTTGCATGCCTCAGAATTTTTATTTATAGATTCTGATCGTTAGGTTGGTAGATATCGCACAAGATAAGCCCAATCTAATTCTAGATAAACTTCAAGTTCACATTTAAAGTTTATCCACTTATAAATATCTTTTCTTTTCCACTATAAAATTTTCAAAAATAGAAAGCTACAAACTGGGGTACTCTGATACCAAATAGCAACTTACCAGTCATTTTAACAATGCCTGCAAAATAGGCAATCCAAAGAATACGTAACATCTGTGAATATCACACCATTTAACTGAATCAGTAGTAGTAGGCATAGTCCTGGACAGTCAGCAGGGATGCTACAGTCCCGCATCAACAAAACAATCATATAACATTACCTATCAAGGATTTGTTGTTGTTGCTTTTATTTCGTTTGTGTTCACATACTTGGAATGAGAAGTGTGGTCAGGGGGATAAGGGATCTTATCCTCAATTCTTGAAGGATGATTGCGCGACTCTTCTGAGTCACATATATGCATCTGACTGCGCTAGTAGTGTTTCATCAAACTTTCGATCAGTTTATACCTACACTGAAAAAAATATTTTCTTTCAGGGTTTTGTGATAATGACCATTGTTTGCTATTGCTTTTTTCTTTTTAGCAACATTTGACCGCTTGGGGCGCTATGTAATTACTGGTTCAGATGATCGGCTGGTAAAAATTTGGTCCATGGAAACTGCATTCTGCCTTGCCAGCTGTAGAGGACACGAGGTGACAGGATTTTTTTGTACTTTTAGCTCCATTATTTTGTACTGAATGGCTCAACCCCCACAATCTGTTTTTCTTTTCTCTACATCCAAGGGCGACATTACTGACTTGGCTGTGAGTTCAAATAATGCTTTGGTGGCATCTTCTTCAAATGATTTCACCATCAGAGTTGTAAGTTGTTCACTTCTATGAATACTTGTGAATCAGAATGATTGAAATATTTTTGCTAGATTCTACTGCTGAAAGCGTGATCCTCATTCATTTGCATATGATCCCTCTATGCTATTTTTTGCTTTCCTAGTATTCAGCACTACACACAATTTAAGATGTACGCTGTATTTGGATATAAATTTCCATCTTATTTGAATGCAGTGGCGCTTGCCTGATGGTTTACCAATTTCTGTCTTGAGAGGACACACTGGAGCTGTAACTGCTATTGCTTTCAGCCCACGGCCAAGCTACTGCTATCAGCTGTTATCGTAATTTTTGTTCTCTTTTTTTTTTTTTTGAGTGGGAGTTTAACACTTCACTTTACACAGATGGATGCAATACATTCTAAACTATTTATATACCTAAAATTAGTGTTTTCCTTGCATTGTAATGCTTATTCTGGTATTCATTAAATTGTCTAAGTCATCGATTTGCAGTAGTTTTGAGTACTTTTTAGCTAATTTGTTTAATATCTGAGGACAACTTCTGTTTGGCCACAATTAAAATGCCTGATTTTTTAATGGAGTTGATACTTATTATATTCCATTTTGAAAATTTTACCAGAATTTACATTATTGTTGCATGTATTTCAAAGCATGAATGATTTTATTTTCTATTGTAATTAAAAAATCAATTTTCACTACACAAAAAAAAAAAAAAAAAAAAACATTTTTAATAAATTTGAACTTGATAGAAACATAATGGGTTCCTACTTTTAGCTTTCTCCATACTGTCTAGAGAAGCTATTTGTAGTTTAATTGTTAATTTTATCAAGATTTTGGAGATTTGGATGTACTTTTTCGTAGTCATATTAAAACAGAATATTCCTTTTTTTTGTTACCAAATCCTTAGTCCATGCATTTATCTGTTGCAGTAGTTAGTTATCATCACTTGCTTTTTAATAAAACTACTTTTACAATCACCTGGGAATGGGTGCAAAAGTGGTGTTTATATGAATCCTAGTGACGTAAGTTTTGCGTGTTTAATGTATTTAGTGGTTGAATCCAGATTTCCACTCTTTTGGCTTATATATTGAGAATCCATGTGGAATAATTCTTCTGACAGATTTTATATTTTGATTTCATTTTCAAAGGTTTTTCGAGGCTTTGAAAAACTTATTATTTGTTCTAGCTAATTGTTCTTCATTTTCAGAATAAACAATTTAAATAAGTTTGAACTTGATAGAGGAAATTCACAAGTAAAGGAACTTCTTTAACATGTGTACAAAATGCTTATAAAAGCTGATTCCAATTTAGTTCTCGATCTTGTCAAATTCTTTAAAATTTTGCTGAACATTTCTGCCGTTGCATGAAAACAGAATATTCTGTCTCGCTGTTACCAAATTCTTTGTGTATGCTTTTGTCAGTTGCATGGTTATCATCAATTTTTGTATAACTATTTTTATGATTGTGTTGTTGGGCATTTTAATGGGACAAAAGGTGATATGTGCTTTGTATGAGAGGCAAATTTTGCTTGTTTAACATATATAGTCAGATCACCAACGGTTTGACTTTGCTTGATACTAGCTTTAAGCTGCTTGATTTTTACATTGTTTTTTGTGGAATTTATGAGAAACTTTCTTAGAGGAAGAACTTTATAATATTCTCATAGAACTAACACAAGCAAATGACATGTATATACTAGCTCAGACTAACCCTAATACAATTGAAGGGAAACTTAAATCATCCTGATAACAAGGAATGAAATTAAAACACAAAAATGGATAATTAAGGGAGAATAATTTTTCCCCTTCTAATGTAGCAGCGGAACCGCGGTTTCCTAAACCATGGGTGGGCTCATGTGGTCCACATTTATATGCATATCAACACTCCCTCAAGCTGGGTTTTATATGTCATACATCTCAAACTTGCTGTTGAGATTACTAAAGTTATGCGAGAAAGAGCTTTGGTAAGAATGTTGATAATCTGTTGCTAAGTTGGGATATAACTTAGCCGGATGAAATGACATTCTCAGAGATGAAGTGCTGTCAGCCTCTATATGTTTAGTTCGATCATAGTGTACCAGATCCTTTAAAATACTGATAGCTGATTGACTGTCACTGAACATCTTAATAGTGTTTTTGTTCTTCATGTGTAGTTCCTCCAGTAATCTTTTTAACTACATCTCTTCGTAAATTCTTAGGGTCAGGGCACAATACTCAGATTCTGCATTACTTCTTGTCACCACAGTTTGCTTTTTTTTACTTCTCCAAGCAACCAAGTTATCCCATACAAATGAACCTTAACCCCCGGTAGATCTTCTATTTGTCAGTTCTCCTGCCTAACTATCATCCGTGTAGATTCAATAATGTGGTTCTTAGTTTTCTTGAATATCAATTCACGTCCTGAAGTCATCTTTAGGTACCTCAAGTTTCGATAAACTGCTTAGATCTTCATTGATGTGGAAGCGTATCGCAAAAAGAAAAAAAAAAAAAACTGCGGTATTATAGCTGCCACAGTACATCGAAAATATCTATCATAGAAGACATGCTGAAATAATCTCGTTTTCCTTTCTTATGCTTATTTCTTATTATGTCATTCATTTTTAGTCATTTCTTATATATATATTATATTAGTGTTAAAAGTCAGTTTTTTGCGTTTTGTATCGGGCAGCCATCACCGTCTCTTCTTCCTGCGAGGGCTGTATCCTAAGATTCCAAGTGATGTTTGGCTGCATCTTGGTTTCCAGGTGGTGATTATCTTCCCTACCCCTTCTCGCATCCCTCTCGCTTTTCTACCACGCCTTTCTCCTCGCTGAAGTCGCCCCAACAGCAGTCCCTTTGCTGTCTTCCTACAATTCCTCGCCATCCAACAATCCCTCTCGCCACCGCCGTTATTCCCGCTCGCTGTCGCCTCCCGAAAACAACCGTCGGGCTGTTTTCTGCCGTTCCAGCCACCAAATCAGCAGTTTCCCCTCATTCCGGCTTGCTGCTATTGCCGCAACGCCTCCACCTTTTTGTTTTCCTGCTGTCCAGCAGCCCCAAACAACCAACTAATGTTGTTTGGGCTACGGACCCTTGCTGCCTTGCTGTTCCAACCACTCATAATCGTTGTCGCTTCTCATCTACAACCTGAAACCCCTTCCTTACCATGTCACTACCTCACCGAACCCTCTAACCGTTACTACCTTCACCTGGGATTCGCCCTAACATGAGTTTGCGTGTCGTGTGTGTTATATTTTCTCTTTCAAGTGTGTTTGATTGTAACAGCCTTTTTGCTTCCAATAATAATATTTATTTTTTCTAATGTGATTTTGGTCAACTCTGGTATCATTTTTTAATCACCACAACCCGCTTTTTTACTTCTATAAGTAATCAGGTTATCCCCTACAAATGAACAATAACACATGGTAGATCTTCTATTAGTCCGTGTAGATCTCAGTTTTACGGTTTTTAATTTTTTTGAATATTAATCCACGTCCTGGAGTCATCTTTAGGTACCTGAGGATTTGAAAGTCTGCTTTTAAATGATCTTCATTTGGATTCATATGTTGACTCACCGTGCCCATAGAAAAAACAATATCAAGTCTTGTATATGATAGATAAATAAGTTTCTCTACAAATTTTTGATACCTTTTTTTTTCAACTGGGGTATTATCCTCTTCTTTTGATGCCCTGTTGATTGAGATCCATAGGAGTTTCTATTGATTTGCACCCCAACTTTTTTGTCTCCTTAATGTTGCTATAGTACCTCGAGATTTAGCAATCACGGGTGGCTGGTCGAAACATCCTCGTTTTCCTTTCTTATGCTTTTTTATATTATCTTTTATTCATTTTTAGTCATTTTCAATATATGTGTTGTATTAGGATTTGAAATTCAGTTTTAGCTCAGATTTCTGTCAGGACAGCCGTCAACGTCCGTTTGTCCCTTCGAGAGCTGTTCCTTGAAGGGTTTGGGTGGTGCTCCGGCTGTATCTCTCTCTCTCTGTCTCTCTCTCTCGGTGGTGTTTATCTTCCTATCCCTTTCCACATCCTCTCCACTTTGCTCTCGACCGTCCTCCATTGATACAGCCGCCCCCAAACTGTCGCACCTTGTTGTTTTCCTTGCTGTTTCCCCAATCAAACCACTTGTCCTCACTGCCACCACCCCGGATAGCCGTCCTCTTGCTGTCCTGCAGTTCTCCCCATCCATTCCTCTCCTTCTAGCTTGTTGCCTTTGCCACAACTCCCCTATGATGTATCCATCCACACCCTTTGCTGTCGCCGTGCTTTGTAGCCTTCACCCCTTTCTTGCTTTCTTGTCGGAGTACCAAACCCTTGCAGATCACCATCACCACCCTGAGATCCCACCCTAGTTTGATTATTTGTGTCACATCTATTGCTATTTTCTATTATCAGGTGTCGTGTTGTTATATTTTTTCTTTTAATTATTGATTGCTCCGCTTAGTTGTTTCAAGTAATGATATTTATTTTTTATTATTGTTTGGGTTAACTCCGATATCATTTGGTATTAGAGCTTGTCTAACCCCAGTCATATTCCAGGGTTTCCTAGCATCTGCCTTACCCCTCCAAAAAAATTTCATTCTTATTCCCCAAACCATAACCAAAATTTTGACCTAACCCCCCTAATTTTCCCTTGCTGATTTTCCAAATCAGCAATCCTAAATTATTTTTTTTACGCTCTTTTTCACATCTCGCTCCAAGTCCAAGCCATGCCACCAAGGAGAGATCTGCCAACTTCAACGGAGGCTTACGGACATTGAAGATGAAACCAAAGGGGAGATTACCATCGACCTTGATCTGGAGAGTCGAAGGGGGGAAAGAGAGAATTGAGGATAAAGCAGGAGATACAACACGAGTTCCTACTAGTTTACTACAGATAGAATGTTCAGACTCTAGCTTTAGAAGTGGAGAGACCAGATCACCTGACAACTGCTACATCTTACAGATAGAGTTCAACCTCAAAATCTTACAAGCTAAAATACACCCATGAGAAATTTCAAGCTTACTCTGTGAGAGGAAAAACTTATTGCTTTCCTAAATCTATCTCATCCAAGAAATGCTTTAGGTGCTATGGGTTTGGGCAGTGAATTAGATTACACAACCACTAGAGTGATCAATTTTCACTGTCAGGGAGCAGTTGAAGAAATAAATGGTGATCTAGGAGAAGATTAAGATTTCAAAGATGATTTTCAACTTCCGATTGACGAGGATACACCGGCGATTTGAGTTGAACCCAAGAGAGAGAGTTCAACTGAGTTGAAAATAACTGTTTTAGAAGATAATGCGTTTGAGTTAATAGGCATTTATGTAGAGTATGAGATCTTAGTG